CCCCCCCCCCCTTCCCCCCAGTCAGCATTATCACAAACAAATTTTGGACCAAACACGGCATGCATTTGCAAGGGGTATCCATGGTAACATGTTATTTTCACATGTGAAAAAATCACCTTTTTGCATCGGAGATCACCTGATATTTCATTGGAGTTTATATAATAATCATCAATCTCCTATTTCAGTCTCCTAATTTCACTCTGTTAAATGTTGAAAAGTGCTCGGATTTCACTTGGCATTTATCAATAACTTCTTTAAGGGGACCCAAAGTTTCTTTGTTAAAATACATCCCTAAACCGGGTCGATTATCAAAGTAAGTTTTAAGTGCCCCCCTATACAGAGTACCAATTGAATTTTGATGCCTCCCCCAAAATGTTTTGGATGAAAATTAATGCCCCCCTCCAAAATTAATTCCCATAGCCTCCCCTCCGAACCCATAAATTATGAACGGTTCCTAAATAGTGAAAACTCAATTCAATTCAATTCCATTTCCACAAAAATGTTCCAAAGAGACATTGAATGATGACTTTGTGTCCAAACAAAATCAAAACACGCCAAAATTGTAATCTTTTAAATAGCTTCCGAAGTGTTCAAAGGTTGTCAGAACATCTTTGTATGTTTTTCAGAAATCCCATTCAGGACAAGGCGCAAATCTCATGCATTCAACTAAGAAAAACTTGACAGGTAAAGGCGAATCTTTGTTTACACTTTTTGCCTCATTGACATATGCTTATCACTATCTGATGACACTAATAAAGTAAAAACTCTGAACATTGAAAGGGCATAACAGTTTCAGTTATCTCTGAAAATTTGAGCCTAATACACCAAATAGTTTCAGACAAATTCTCTTCTAAAAACTCCAAATTTTACAGAGAATGTATGGCTCATTAACTTTTTTGCCACCCAGCAATTTCGCATTTTTTGATAGCTGATATTTCCTTCAATATTGCTTACAAAGACCTGAAAATTGTACAAATTGCTCAACTTAATCAGCTCTTTCAACTTTTGCATTTAGTTTATATATACGGCCACGGCTTCTATGAGTTAAGTTGTATGCAAATGAGGAAAAATGTAAACAATGACGTCAGCAAAGATTCGCCTATACAAAGGTGAATGTGAATCTTGCGACAAAGTGTAAGGGTCCATGAAAATGAGAAAGAGGAGATGTGAACTACTTAGCCACTTTCTACTGTCCTTCCAACAGTCTCCTTTGCATGCAAATGTACTTTGCAAGAGAGACAAGTGGGAGCAATACAGGTACAAACGGCAACTAGAAGTTTAGAACATGAAACTTTGTCTCATTGTTTTTTTCAAAACTTTTCTTCCTAATCCTGTTGTACCTGCACGAAAATGGCTGATGGTTGTTCAGGCAGAATCTAGAACTGGAGCTGTTATTTTCATACGTGTATCGTATGCTAAGGCCGGTGATCTGACAGCAGACTTTTTTTTTTTTCAATCAAATAATTATTATCTGTAATCATATCACTGAAACAGCTTCAGAATACTGCTGGGGAATGAAAACGCTCCAACTGTTTTATTTGCGAAGTTATTTTCCGTTTAGGGTCCCTATAAACGGCATAGACAAAGGATCACATCAAGTAATTAAGCTTAATTAATTATTCATCATTATGATCGAATATTTTATTAAATCACTCACCAAGTGTAGCGATGCCGTCCAATCTTCTTACCTACAAAAAAAAGGAATGAAAAGTAGTTACATTAAAATTTAGCACAGATTTGCACGTTATTTTAACAAACACTAACCTCCTTTCTACACTGTTCATCCAGAACACAGTTTGCAAGTGTACTGAGCGCCATGTCAACAACCGTCGTGTTGGGCCGCTCTATAAGAGCTAAAAGCCGCTTTAAGCCTCCTTTCAAGCCAAACAAACGAACATTTTCTTTATTTTTGGTCAGTTTTGTTAACGCTAGCAAGGCTTTTTTAGTTTTTGAGTCAAATTCAGAGTTTAATTCCAAGATCAAATTCTCAATATACTTGGTCTCACTGTCGGCCATCTTGCACTTTTCCCAATGCGCGGTGTATGATAATTTTACAACCCATCTGCGCATATATACGTGTCGCCGTCACGTTATGTCA